GACCGCAGCAGAGATCCATGATAAGGCCCGTGGCAGCTTCAGCCCGCATCCTGATGAGAGCCTTGCCGTACTTCTTGAGCGCCTCAGCTCGCCTGAGGTGGTTGTGGAGTTAGTTACATGTTGGTTGGTTGGTTGTTGTTAGCTCATTGGTTGGTTGTAGCAAGATTAGAGAAAGATAACGTACGGCAATGACACATGCACACCTTCTGCGGTATACGTATCGAAAGTCCCTACCCCTATCCCCAAAACACAACACACATAAACACATAAACACATGCGCACGCACCTTTTCCGGGACAGCTCCTCCAGGAAGGCGATCGCCTCGTCCGCATCGCCCAGCTCGTCCAATAAAATATCCAATACGGAATCGATCTGGGGTTGGGGAGAAGCAGCGACATATGTGAATCAACCGTTCGATCAGTGATGTATTTTTTAATACGAGGAGCGATTTACGTAAAAATAGTAAAAGTACGATAACGGAGCATATACACACAGAAATTGACACAGACATTCACACACACACATACACACACGCGCTCCAATCCCCCCCGCCCCCGGTGCTTGGATAGGGTTTCAGGACACCGCGGTCTGTTGCCATCAACTTCATCTAACGGACAAGATCTGCAGCTTCAGCACCAGGGTTCGACACTGACCTTCCCGAAACTTGCGGGCTCCCCCGTACCTCCCAAATTTTCCTTACGGAGGGGCCCCCGTACCAGGCTCCTGTACCGGCCGAAAACCTTACGGGGGCCCCCGTAACCCCCGCAAAACCTTTACGGGGGCACTGTCCTTGGCTGAAACGCTGTGGAAAGTGACGCTTTGCATTTTTTTGCCCTGTAAATCGTTATTTTCGTTATTTTCTCGCGCTTCTTGGAGGGCGGTGGATTAGGAGGCCCTTGGTCACCTCCTGACGACTCATTGTCTGCCATCGCTGGATGTTACAGACCAGAAGCTATAAAAGTATTATGAAAAGTTTAGTTAAATATTGCAATATGAATTATGTCTGCCAAGTGTGTGGCCTTACCCTTTATATGGTCCGTCCTCTCCCCTACAGGGTCCCGTACGGCCTCTTATAAATCCTTAAAATCCTTACGGGAGCCACCGTAACCGGCCTTCGGCCGGTCCGGGGGCGGCCCCGTACGGGGCGCTTCGCGCCCCAAAATCCTTACGGGAGCCACCGAAAAGTCCTACGGGCCCTGACGGGGATACCGAAAAAAGGCCAAAAACTTACGGGCCCCGTACGGGGTGTCGAACCCTGTTCAGCACACACCCACCTCAACACCATACCAAGACCCCCCCCGGCAAGTCACCCTGAACAATACACACACACGAAGGCCCATGCACACGCACATACGTACATATACACACGCACACACACACACAAACATACCCACGCACCTGCCCCGCCGCGTCCGCAACCCACAGTGCGTGTTCCGCGTATCCCGCCCCTCGCAAGACTCGAATCGCCGTGTCGGGATCGAACAGGAGACCTGTCGCTGCTGCGGATGCCAAGGAGGACGTACCCGCTTGCGCATCAGCCTGCAAGCAGAGACAGTAAAACGTGAGGTGATGATGACAGAATACGGCACGGTACGACATGCCACACCCCAAACCTAAAAAAGATGAACATGTCGTACACACATGCACGCATACGGCACACCTGCTTCTGCTGCTTGCGTGCACCGCCTCCGCCTCCGCCAGCCTTTCGCGACGACGATGACGCTACTGTGGCGGCGGCGGCGGCCTCCGCCGCCGCAGCAGCCTCCGCCGCCGCGGCGGCGGCGGCTGACTTCAGGTGTCGTCGCGGCCGTCTCGGCGTCAAATTGCCTTGGCCTGAGCTGGCGG